GTCCATCCCATCCCACATCCCTGTCCTACCTGAGCATTCCCAGTTGCAGGAATTCTCTAGAAGTCACTCAGTAAATGAGAGGGCAGCTGAGCTGTGGGAGAAGTATTGCTCTTGCCTGTATTTGCTTGGTTTAGATGCAGGAATTCTCTAGAAGTCACTCAGTAAATGAGAGGGCAGCTGAGCTGTGAGAGAAGGGAGAGCTGAGGATTGCTCTTGCCTGTATTTGCCTGGTTTAGGTCTATGAGCATAGGGGGAATAAAGCCCTGTTCTTAGAACCCTCTCAGTGGCTTGAATTAATTAAATTGTTAGGAAGTCATGAATCCAGGTGGCTTAACATAGCCACTGCAGAGGTTTTGAGGAGCTTTGCTCTGTTCTATTGGGAAATTGACCTGTCCCTGCTGGAATTCTGGCAAAACTGCTGTTAACCTGGGAGATGCCTTGTAAAAACCCTGGGAAACCATTGTCCCACAATGTCACTGCTGCTGTCACTGCTGGCTCTGTGGATCCTGATGGTGCAGGTCCTGTGCATCAGACCTCAGTGCTGTCCTGCTGCCTCTTGCACCAGCCCCCTTGTCTTCTGGCTGAGCTGCTGGGGGTGGTTGAGGAGTGGTGCAGGTGTTCCATGTGCTCTCCTGCTGCTCTGTGCCAGGTATGAGTCTGGGGACCACGTGGCTGTGTACCCAGCCAACGACTCCTCCCTGGTGAACCAGATTGGTGAGATCCTGGCCACGGACCTGGACACTGTCATGTCCCTAAACAACTTGGATGGTGAGTAGGGATGACCCCTGAGGGTCTCCAGTTCTCCAGCTGTGGCCTCTGTCCTTCACCCTCAGATCCCATGGGGCACCTCCAGATGTGCCACACCCCTCTCAGTGTTGTGCTGTTTTAGCAGGGGCTCAGAGCCTGTGTGCTGAGATCAGCTGAAGTGGGTCACTTGTGAAATGTGCTTGGTGAGCCCATTCAACAACAAATTATGTAACAGCACACTCCTGATTACAGAGCATCAGCCCACCAGAGCATCCTTCAGCAGCCCTGGAGCCCCTCAGGGCCCTGAGTGTATGAGATGCTCTTATTCAGTCCTGGGAGGAGGCACAGGCTTGGGGACTGAACTGCCAGCAGGGAGCACTTGTGCTGATCCAAAGAGCTCCTCCTGGGTAGCATTCCCAGCAGAGCCAGCCTCTGGCAGGGGGAGATGGCAGCTGCTGCCCATCACAGTCCTGGAGCAGCACAGCCAGACCTGGGCAGCAGCTGTGCTGGCCCAGAAGCCTGAGAGAGCTCCTGGTTCCTAGAGACAAAGTGGATTTAAGGCACTGCTGGAGCCTGTGGCTTCCCGTGCAGTGTCCTGTGCTGTCATTCCTGTCCCTTATGGACCTCTCAAGGCTGAACGGAATGGCTCCAGCCTTGACTGCTGGCACAGCTGTACGTGGCTGACAGAGCCTAAGGACACTCTTGAGGCCAGATCTGATGGAGGTGTAAGTGCCTGAGGCCAAATTAGCTGTGGAGGGCAGCCCCCTGCTTAGCTTGGGGGTTTGCTGGACTGTGCGTGCACATTTCAGGGCAGGGAGCCCTTGGGGAGCACAGGGTGTTGTTTTTGCTGCTAAACTTTCAGGCAGCATCTATGAAACACAAAATGGGCTACTGGCAGATGGAGCTGCCTGGGGAGGGTGGTGATTCAGTGTAGAGCTGGGGCTCTCTCCACAGGCTGCTCTCTCCTCCCTGAAACCCACTGTGCTCTTGTCTCCAGCCCTCACCGTGTGTGTAGCAGCCGGCACAAAACCTCTGAACACAACAGCCTGAGGTGGATGATTTTAAATTTTCCTTTCTCTCCCTCTTCTCCAGAGGAATCCAACAAGAAGCATCCCTTCCCCTGCCCCACGTCGTACCGCACAGCCCTGACCTACTACCTGGACATCACCAACCCTCCCCGCACCAACGTCCTCTACGAGCTGGCCCAGTACGCCTCGGACGCCGGCGAGCAGGAGCGCCTCCGCAAAATGGCCTCGTCTGCTGCTGAGGGCAAGGTGGGAGCCTGCCCTTCCCCCTGGGCTGGGGGATGCCCAAAAAGCACCCAGAGAGCCGAGGGGGTGTTGGCCCGCCCTTGTGATGCCTGTGCTCTCCTTGCCCGCAGGCGCTGTACCTCAGCTGGGTGGTGGAGGCCCGCAGGAACATCCTGGCCATCCTGCAGGACATGCCCTCCCTGCGCCCCCCCATCGACCACCTCTGCGAGCTCCTGCCCCGCCTGCAGGCCCGCTACTACTCCATTGCCTCCTCCTCCAAGGTGGGTGTGCTTCCAGCAGGGAACGTGGCTGTGGAGGGACCTCTTCAGCTGCAGCTCCCCTCAGCTGGGAGCTGGGCATGGGGGGCTTCTCCTGGTGCCATTTGCTGTGAGAGGGGCAGATTTAGTGATCTCCATGCATGGAGTTAGCCCAGGTTCCCACAGGGTCTGTGGACAGTGCTGTGCTGATACCACCACACTCTCTGGAGCCCTGCTCCTCTTTGCCTGGCAAGGTGGCATTTTAGGGGCTGGTCAAAAGTCCCTCTTGGCAACCTCCAGGGAAGCTCAGCGGTCCCATGATGAGTTGAGGACAGAAGCCCCGTGAGGAGCACACAGGGAGGAATAGCTGTCCCAAGGTTAACATGAGGCTAAACTTCTCCCACATTCCTGAGCACAAGGAAGCAGCGTGGGGTTGCTGGGGCTCCTCCTCTGCCTGGTTCCAGCATCTCTTCCCTGCAGGTCCATCCCAACTCCATCCACATCTGTGCCGTGGCGGTGGAGTACGAGACCAAGACGGGCCGCCTGAACAAAGGGGTGGCCACCAACTGGCTGAGGGGCAAGGCGCCTGCCCGGGAGGGGAGCGGCTCCCTGGTGCCCATGTACGTGCGCAAGTCGCAGTTCCGGCTGCCCTTCAAGCCCAGCACGCCCGTGATCATGATCGGGCCGGGCACCGGCATCGCCCCCTTCATCGGCTTCATCCAGGAGCGCGCCTGGCTCAAGCAGCAGGGTGAGGGCCAGGGGCTGGGGCTGCTGCAGGGCTCTGTGGGGGCACTTGGTGCCTCCTTTGCTGCTCCTGTTGCTGGTGGGCCCAGCCAAAAGCAGAGTGCTGGGGCGGGGTGAACGGGGCTGAGCGGTTTTGTTCACACAAGGGTTCTTTGTCCTTTGTCCTTCTCTTGGCCACAGAGGGTGTTTGGGGGTGGACAGACCTGGGGCACTTCTCTGACCTCTGCCACCACCACACCTCCAAATAATCAGTCTGGCCACTCAGACTTGATTCTAAAGCTTGTGGGCACTACTGAGAATCAGTCCTGAGCTTCCCCTTGTAACCAGCAACCATCGTGCTGCTCTGCAAGCCCAGGGTGGGGGAGAGCACAGGCTGGGGGTGTCAGGACAAGGGGAGGTTGTGAAGGGGCAGGGCAGGGGCTGGCAGGGCCCAGCTGATGGGGGCTGTGTGACCCTGCAGGCAAGGAGGTGGGTGAGACAGTGCTTTACTACGGCTGCCGCCGCGAGCACGAGGACTACCTGTACCGGGAGGAGCTGGCCCGCTTCCAGAAGGAGGGAGCCCTCACCCAGCTCAACGTGGCCTTCTCCAGGGACCAGGCTGAGAAGGTACCACACTGTTCCTGCTGCCAGCTGCCCACCATCACTCTCGTGGCAGGCGGGAGCACCCAGCACTTGCCCTGTCTCCCAGAGCCATGAGCACAGCCTTGCTTTCCCTCCCTCTCCAAGTCTGTGGTGTGGGGGCTCTGCTCCTCTCTCCTCACTCCCACCTTGTTTCCTGCCAGGTTTATGTCCAGCACTTACTGAAGAAGAACAAGGAGAACGTCTGGAAGCTGGTTAATGAGGGGATGGCTCACATCTATGTGTGTGGGTAAGCTGGGGGCAGGATGGGGATTTGGGGGCAATTCTCAGGAAAAGGAGCGTGACTCAGTTTCCCCAGCTGTGCATTACAAGCCCTGGGAGGGTCATGCTGTCCTGGTTCAGAGGAGGGCAGGGGCTGGGCTGTGTGTGTCCAGTGGGAGGTGGCAGGGCTCTGAGGCTGTGCTCTGGTGTCTCACTCACCCCTGTTTGCAGCGACGCCCGGAACATGGCCCGGGACGTGCAGAACACCTTCTACGAGATCGTGTCCGAGTTTGGGAACATGAGCCAGCCCCAGGCCGTGGACTATGTAAAGAAACTGATGACAAAGGGCCGCTACTCCCTGGATGTGTGGAGCTAAGAGCGGGGCTGGCGGGGCCGGGGGGAGATCAGGTCCCCAGGCGTGGGCCAGGGGAGCTGGCAGGTGCCTGCTCGCCCACTGCTCTGGGTGACGGTGTCGTCCCCAGCCCACGGCTACCCCGGTGTCACTCCCAACCCTTCCTGGGCCTCTGCAGCCCCAGCGGGTGGAAAGGGTTGAGAGGGGCAGGGGGGTAGCTCAGGCTGCTGTCCAGGACCTGCGGTGTCACCGGCACCTCAGGGTGCACCCCGTGGCACCAGCATTTGCCTTGAGGCCAGGGACATCAGGGACACAGCCACTGTGGGGCACGAGGGACAGACACTGCCAGGGAGGCCTTCCCTGGACACCAGGTGTTGCCTTATCCCCGGGGTGGAGCCCACCCTGGCCTGCAGGGGCAGCAGAGGGGTGCAGGGGCTGTGCTGGGGCTGGGATTGCAGCTTTGCCTCCCTCCTGCCACCCCTGTTTGCCCAGCTCTGGGATGTGGGGCTGGCAGCTGGCTCTGGGCACAGAGCTGTGCCGTGGCCCCAGCAGCAGATCCTGCTCCATTCCTGCTGCCTGCCCTCGCTCCAGCACCAGCAGGAAGCTCCTCTCCCTGTGGATGAATCAGGATTGGGAGGTGGGGTCTCAGCCGTGGGGGCCCTGCTTGCTCCCCTGAGCCCAGCCCCTCCCTCACACCATGTATGGTCATTTTTTAAATACGGTTTTTATTTTGAACATTGTGATTTAAGCATGGAAAAAAAAAAACAAAACAAAAAAACCCCCAAAAAAACAACAACAGAAACCCGAGACTTCCAGGCTGTCCAATGATTGTAAATTATTTAAATACATTTGCCCTTGGAATAAAAATCCTGTGTCTGGAGTTTGCTTCCTCCATTCTCTCTGCTCAGCCAGAGGGAAGAAGGAGGCAGGAGGAGCAATGGATGATAACCAGGAGGAAATTTGGGGATGTGGTGGCAGCTCTGGGTAGCCCTTACCCTGAGTGCTGGGTTGTGGGGGGAGGGAGGATGGCAGTGGGGGGCTCTGGACTGGGGTGCAGCTGTGCCCAACCTGCTCTTTGGTTCTTCCAGAGCTCCCGGTGCTGGTACAGCTGGTGCAGGGTGTCTGTTCCCCACCTCCAGGGACACTGAGGTTCTGCTGGTGGCCACAGCCTGGGATGCCATGGGAGGGAGCACCCCCCGCAGCTCAGGCTGGTGGAAGGGCACAGGGAGATGACTTTTCCTAAAATCATGGGCTCATTTAGGCTGGGAAGCCCCTCCAAACCATCGAGTCCAACCCTTGACCCAGCAGTACCAAACCCACCACTCAACCATGTCCCCAGCTGCCACATCTACATGGCTTTTAAATCCCTGTAGGGCTGGTGACTCCACAGCTGCTCTGGGCAGCCTCTGTCAGGGCTAGACAACCCTTTTTTGTGAAGACATCTATCTAAAGCTCCCCTGGTGAAACCTGAGGCTGTTTCCTCTTGTCCTGTTGTAACAAATGTCCTACTGCCCCCCACCTCCACCCTCCTTTCAGGGAGGCTGTGTCAGGACCCCCCTTCCTGCTGACCCAAAGCCACAGAGCAGAGTGTGGGAGCAGATCCCAGAGTGTCCCGGTGCCCCAGGGCAGCTCCTTCCCTTTATTTTCACACCTGCAGCCTCAGGAGCTGCACAGCCCCAGCTCCTGCTCCCACCCTCCCGTGCCCCAGCCCCCCCTTCCCTGTGGATTGAAGGCGAGGGAGGAGCTGGGCTGGGATCAGGGCTGTGCACAGCCCCAGCTCCTCAACACCAGGGGCTGCAGGGCTGGGGGGAAGGGGGAGCCCCAGCACCCCAGGAGCTGTGGGAGGCAGTCCCTGGATGCTGCCCTGTCCCAGTGAGGAGCACCAGCAGCCAGGGAACATCCCAGTGAGAGGGAGGGGAGCGGCTGGCCCAAGCACCCTGCTGGCTGGGTGTGGAAGGCAGCCAGGACAGGAGGTGCAGGCTGCTCCTGCCTCCAGGTGGGTGACTCCAGCACGGACCCAGCCCTGTGCTGAGCACGTGGACTGTCCAGGAGCAGGCCCCAGGCTCTGTCCCACACCCAGGCCTCCAAGGAATGGCAAGAGACACCAGAGTCCGGACGGAATTGAGGAGATGGGGATTGGGGATGGAGCCAGAGGGCAGAAACAGTCCAGGCCCCCACAGTGCCCCACTTCAGTTCTCCTTCGTGTCCTGGTTCTTGTTCTGAATCTTCTGGTGCACGACACGGAGGGTGGTGAAGAAGTTGCCCAGGAAGAGGATGGAGAAGGGGAGGCCGCACATGAGGACCTGTGGGGGGAGAGGATGGAGTGAGGGAGAGGATGGAGTGAGAGGCCCTGCCTGGGCCCCCCGCCAGGGCCCCCCGGGAGCTCCTTACCTGCCACTCCTTGCACTCGGGGTGCTGCAGCATGCGGAACAGGGTGATGGCGTTGTAGAGCTGCCAGAACTGCAGGAGAGGAGACTGAGGGCAGCTGCTGCTGCTTCCAGAGGCTCAGCCCCAGGCTGGAGCCTGTCCCTCTGGGTATGAACCCCACACCGAGGGAACAGGGTGATGGCGTTGTAGAGCTGCCAGAACTGCAGGAGAGGAGACTGAGGGCAGCTGCTGCTGCTTCCAGAGGCTCAGCCCCAGGCTGGAGCCTGTCCAGCTGCTCCCTCTGGGTATGAACCCCACACCGACCCCGTGTGGGGCAGTGAAACCCATCCAGGCTCAGGGACAGAGGGCTCGTTCCCAGAGGAGCCCAGCTGGGACATCCCCCCTGTTTGAGGCCAGCTGGAGCCCAGGGGCCTCAGGGAGCCTCAGAGCAGCCTTTGTCCACCAGCCTCAATGACCCAACTGAGGAAGGCTCGATCCTTGCAGCAGCAGCTCAAAGCTGGAGCTCAGGAGGGCTTTGGAAAGGCTTTGGAAGGGTTCTCAGCACAGCACCCAGCAGAACCACCCCAGCCCCTCCCCACCTCCCTTCCCCAGTCGTGCTGGGTGCTTTGGAGGGAGAGGCTCAGCACTTGTTGGAAGCACTTCCCTGCCCCAAGCATCCACATCACATGGCTGTGGCAGCCTGTGGGCTCTGTGCCATCTCCAGGCCACCGAGCACAGCTGGGAATGTGGCACATCCCACTCCCACCCGAGGCTCTGGCATCTTGCAAGGAACAGGGCAGCCTCACCTGCCCAAAGAAGAGGAAGGGAAGCAGGAACGTGAGGCCTCTCCACATCCAGGACTGGAAGCCCTCTGCAAAGGATGAAGGTTTCTGTGAGAACCTGGAATGGGCTGGGGAGGGGATGGAGCCCAGGGGAGGCTCAGTGCCCACAGTGCCTGGCTGAGCAGCTCCTGCCATTCCAGCCTCACTGTGGGCACTGGCAGGGGACAGTGGCAGGGACCCCTGATCCAACACAGGGCTCTGGGCTCCAGTGCAGCTGGCCCTCAGCCCCTGCCCTCGGTGTCACAGGGGCTGGGGAGGTGACAGCCCACAGTGCCTGGGGTTTGGAGGGATGTGTCATGTCTGAAGGAGCTTCTGGGCAAACCTGGGATGCCCAGAGCCACATCCACTGCCACCTCATATCCTGAAGGAGCCAGCTGTGGGCTGGTGGTCCCAGCAGAGCAGGACAATCATCCTGTGGGTCCTGTGGGGTGGTGCTGCCCACAGGAGATGCTGCTCTGGGAGCTTTGGTTTCACTTAGAGCTTTCACTGTTGCTGCCACTGCTGAAAGTGACCTCAAATCAAAGTGTCACCATTTCCTTCAGTAGAACCCACAGCTCCCAGTGAGCTGAGCACCAGCCTGAGGTCACCAGCAGGGGGAAATCCCACTCACCCACAGTCAGGTCCATGTTGTGCCTCTCTCCCAGCGCTCGCAGCCGGTACAGGCACCCACTCTGGTAGTAATACTGCAGGAACTGCACAAAGCCTGCAGGGAGAGCAGGGCTGCTTCAGGAGCTGCCCAGGGATCACCTTCCAGCCTCAGCACCATCCTCCCAGGCCAAGGGAACTGCCAGGTGAGCTGAGAGCTGCAGCCAGGTCTCCATGTGCTGCAGAGCTCTGCAGGCACTCTCAGCACCCGGGGGTCAGTCCCTGTCCCAGCACTTACTCTGGTACATGGAGAAGGAGAGAAACTGGTTCCTGAACATCTGGTACATGAGCCCATCTGGCCTGTGGAGAGACAGTGCTGGCTGGGGCACGTGGGGCTGGGAGGGGACAGCCAGCCCTGCCTGTCCCACAGCCCAGGCAGCCCCACCATGGGACAGGGGACACAGACTCACCACGTCAGCATGACACCTGAGAGGAAGGTGGAGATGTAGTGATGGAAAACCCACCAGCCTTTGATCCTGGAGGGCAGACACAGAGAAGCACTGTCACATCAGCAGCCTGCAGAGTGGAGCAGCCCAGCCCCAGCCAGCCCAGAGCTCCCAGGGCTGTTGGGAAATGCCTCAGAGCAGGACGCAGGGCCTCGGGGCAGGGCAGCACCGGGGCCCTTCCAGCTCCACCTTCCCACCGCCCCCGCTCGGGAGGATCCTGCTGCACTCCCAGCAGGGTTTGCCACAGCCTGAGTGGGAGGGAGCTGCTGCCCCAGCCCTGCAGAGGAGCCAGCCCCTGCCCGGGCCCGGGGCACTCACTTGGAGCCGTTGTTGATGAGGATGCTCTCGCGGATGGTGAGGGTGCAGTAGTACCACACCAGGAGGAAGTTGAAGACGGCGTCTGTCACCCTGGGTCACACAGAGCAGGTGTCAAGGCACGGTGACAGCCCGAGGGACACCCCCAAGGGAAGGGAGCTGCTCCCTCTCGGGTTTCCTGCTGCCAGGATGACTGAGAGTCCCTTTTTCCAGCCCGACAGCCAAAGAAAGAGTTGGGATTCTTCGGCTCTGGTTCACAAGGTTGTTTAGTATCTATTATCTAAAATATGTTCTCTCAGACCCGCAGAGGTCTGATCTGCAGGTCTGTCAAGGGCACGCTGGCTGCCCCATGGCTGGTGTCTACATTTTATACTATGAGTTACATATACTTTATTTGTCATTATTTCCCAATACCTATCACTTATGTTAGACTGTCTCCTTCTACTTAAGGCCAATCTAAATGTGCCATCATCACCCAGAAGATGGAGGCTAGGAAGAAGAAGGAAGAAGCATGGGACAACGCCCATGTCCCTCCATCTTGCCTCCTACACCCCCTATAACATCCCCAAAACTCCATTTTTCACCCGGTGATTAATTCAGTATTACTCAAACTTCTGTGAGTTGTGATTCTTCATACAAGGTTGGTAATTTGCTCCATGGGTTAAGATCAAAATCCCAAGTGTCTTTGGTGTCCTGCCAGAACTCCCCGGCCCCCTGCCCAGGTCTGGAGCCATCCAGGGCAGCCAGAGGGATGTCCTGGGTTCCAACTGCTCCCCCTGCCCACCACGGCCATGCAGCCACAAAGGCCACCCCACCTCCAGGGGCTTCAGCAGGATCTCCTGTTCAGCTCTGGATATTCCAGGATGGGAGAGAAGGGCAGGGGGGCTCTGGGAGGAATCTCTGCCCTGCACCAAGCCAGACTCACCTGGAGTTGAGGAGGAACCGACAGGAGAAGGAGACAATGAGGAGGATGATGGTGAGGTAGAGCTTGAACTTCTCGTACTCATCTTTATATGCAAACCTGCAGGGAAGCACAAGGACAGGCTTGGAGCGAGGGGCTGCTGGAAATCTGTGTCCTCCCATCCCATCTGGCTGGGAAAAGTGATGTTCTGTTGGGAACCTCTGGAGACACTCAGGAAGAACCTTGCCTTGGGGGTATTTCTGAGAACAGGGCACACCAGTCTGCTTCCACACAGCTGGGACACATCTGGGCACCCCAAACCACCCCAGCCTGGGGGGTGACCCTGGTGGGGGAAATGGGCAGACTGGAATGTGCACACATCTCCAGGGGGAGGACTGGGGAACAGAGGGAGAGGGGAGTGGCCCCTGGCTGGGCATCTCTGGCAAGGCAAAGGCTCTGAGGGGCCAAAACCAACTTCTGGTGCTCCCCAAGGGAAGAGGAGGGGACCAGCCACTGTCTGTCTTTCCTGCAAGTTCCTAATACAGTGGAAACAGAGACATGGCTTCTGTAGAGGATCCCATTAACTTTTCAGAACTAATGGTCCAGCCCAGCCCAGCAGCAGGAATGTGAGGGGGAGCCAAGGATTTGATTCTTAGGAAATGATGCAGAAAACAGCTCAGGAAGGGAATCTACACCAGGTGAGCCAAGCCAGCCCCGTGTCTGCCTGGGAGCAGCTGTTGCTTCTGGTGCCAAGGGGATGCCAAGCCAGGAAAATGAGAGGAGCAGCGAGGAGGGGCCGTACTTGGCCTGTTTGCTGAGCAGTGTCACGTTCACATTGCCGAGCACCAGACTCAGGTACAACCTGGGGAGAGAGCAGAGCGTTAGGACAAGGGCCTGCCTGTGGAGCTGTCCCCTCCTGTGCCACCAGGGATGAGCCCCCAGGTGCTTCCACTCGGAGCTGGCAGGCACAGACCCTCTGGATCCCCTCCCACGGGCAGGGGGACGGGTGGGGGAGCACACCCCACCTCCCACAGGCACTGGGGTGTTCACCAGGGCTTCCCTCGGGCACAACCACTGTACAGGGGTGGGTGATGGCCATGAGCAGGCCATGAGTGAGGGGCAGCACTGCTGGCTCCTGCCCAGGTGTCCTTGGGGAGCCCAAGTGGAGCAGGACAGCTGTGACACCGCTGGGTGCAGGGTGACAGCTCTGGGGTGTGTGCTGCAGCCTTCCAGCCACAGGGATGTGGAGGCTGGCCCTGGTGACCCTCCCAGAGCCGAGGTGCCTTCTCACCCGTTCTTCTTTGGCAGATAGGCCTCCATCTCAAAGAACACGTTCTGCCTCTCTTTAATCAGGCTCTGGGTCTCTTGGATGGATGCTTCCTGCTCGGGAGTCGCCTGGCCTTTGCATCTGGGGAGCAAACACAGGCACTGGCACCAGGAGAGCCTCTGTGACATGACCAGCACGTGCTGGCACTCCACAAGTGACTGACTGGGGCAAGGACACCCCAAGGACAGGGAAGATGGATGGGAGGCAAGTCCACAACTCCATCTGCAGGGCGAGCTCCTCTGTCAGTGATGTTGCTCGAGAAGGGAGCAAGGTGAGGCCAGATGGGTCTCTCACCCTTAGGAGGGATGGGGAGAGCTGTGTGCAGGAGGGGAGCAGTTCATGGTACCCACAAAACCCCTGAACTGCAAACAAGGCACAGGAGAGGGGGGCTGGGGAAGAGCAGCCTCCCCACAGCCCCTGGCTGCAGAGAGGTTTGCATCTGAGGCGTGAGGGGGCCTCAGCAGCCCTGTCCGTGCTGCTCTCCCCCCCTGCTGTCACAGAGCACAAGTGTCACTCACTTTTTGAGGGAGAGTGACAGCTCCTTCAGCCGCTTCTTCTGCCTGGCGATGGAGCTGGAGATGCCATCCTGCAGCTTGGTCAGCTCCTCGAGTTTCTGCTTGTACAGCCTGTGGTTGTCCTGGGAAGGAGAGACCAGCATGTGTTAGAGCTGCCTGCCCAGACACCCCTGTCCTTGGGCCCTCTGTGATGCTTTTGTTAAAAAATGTCCTTAATTTCACCCGCGCTGCTGCTGGGTGAGAGATGGGGTGGCTGCAGAAGGCCACATGTGTTTGGGGACAGCCTGCAGCCAGCCCTGCTTCCACGGGGATGCCCAGCCCCAGTCCCAAGCAGGCTATCCACAGGATATTCCTGTGCTCAGGACACCCACGGCAGACAGGAAAGCCTTGGGAATGAACACGGGGTGGGCCAGGGTACAGCTGTGGTACCAGTGGACAGGATGAGCAGCTCTTTGTGCCCCCAGGTCTCCCAGCTCGGGGCTCTGGGGCTCCACCTGAGCATCCCTGGGGAGCTGCAAGGAGCCTGGCCGTGAGCTGGACAAAGGGGAAGGGCTCCCAGCAGGGCTGCAGCCAAGTGCCCGTAACCCAGCCACACCTGGACGAGCCTGGGTGCATTTCTCCACTATTTTTAGTAGGGAAAGGAGGGAGCTGCTGGATCAATGCTGCTGCTGCTTGTCCAGCAGGAGAACAGCCTGACCTCGGCCACAGCAGCCTGAGTGCCACCTCCACACGCTGTTTCACACAACCCTTGGACTAGACCTTGGCACAAACAAGTTCTAACCTCTGCAGCTCTTATCAACCACTTGATCGCCAGATCTTAAAAGTTGTTCCCAAAGGAGAAAGGTGAAACCAAGAGCACAGGAGAGAAACCTTCTCCCTCTGGTGACAAACAGTGGCAAGGAGGGAACAGATCCCAGATAGTCCCGGTTCCACAGCAGTGATTTATGCCCCTGATTTATCCCAGGACATTCCCTGCTTGACCATCCAGCTTTCCTGCTGCCACCTAGAGTCACCTCCTCCTGGCTCTGGAGTGAAGTGTGAGCTTTTGTGACAAGTCCTTAGCCGTGCCAGCACGGGAGAGCCTGGGCGAGGAGCGAGGGCGGGAGGAGTGTCCGGAGGGAAGCGCCGGCGCTGAGCGGCCGCACTCAGGGCTCCAAGTGGGCGACCCGGGACATGCACGCAACCCCTATGGAGCAAGAGGAGGTTTCTCAAAGCCTCCCTTGCCCCAGATCTGGGCACAGCAGCGACGTGCCCGCAGCGACATCCGCTTCACCCCGCTCGGGGGGGAAGGACGGGCAGAGGGAGCGGGCGCAGCGCTCCGAGTGACCCGAGCGGCGGCGGGGGGCGGCGGCCAGCCTTCCCCGGGGCGGCCCAGGGCGAGCTGCACCGTGCCCGCTCCTCCGGGGGGATTACGGAGCGCTGGGAGCAGCTCCGGCAGCGGTCACCTTCCCGGCGGTGGCGGGGCTGAGGCGCTCCGGAGCGCGGCTCTGCTGTCCCCGCGGGGCCGGCCGCGCTCGCAGGAGCGATCGGAGCCCGGCAGCATCCGCGCACCTCGGTGGCCGTGCCACGCCGGGCACCGCCGCTGCCTGCCACGGGAACCGGCACAGCCGAGTGTCCGCCACGGCCGCGGCGGGCCGGGCACCGCACCGGGCACCGCACCGGGCACCCCGCTCCGCCCGCTGCTCTGCCCCGAGCACCCGGCTCGGACCCCACGGGGGAAGCGCCCGGAGCGCGGAGCCCGCGCCCGCCGGGGATGCTGCCGGGGTGCCGGCGGCCGCGGCGCTGCCCCGGGCCCGGGGGTACCTGGATGCGCTGGTAGCCGTCCTGCAGCTCCTCCCACTCGCGCAGGCACTCGGCGAGCGAGGCGCCCCAGGCCATGGCGGCGATGGCGGCCCCGGCCCGGCCCGGCCCGCGGCGACGGGCGGCGCTGGCCACGCCCCCTTCCGGACACGCCCCGGGGCGGGGCCGGGGGCGGGGCCTCCTTCAGCCCGGGTGTTCCTGTGAAGGGAGCCGGGAAAAGGAGAAGAGCCATCCAGGTGAGAAATTCCCTGGAAATGAGGGATTCCCTGGAAAATGAGAGATTCCCTGGAAAATGAGAAATGCCCTGGAAATGAGAAACGCCCTACAAAATGAGAAATTCCCTGGAAAATGAGAGATTCCTTGGAAAATGAGAGATTCCCTGGAAAATGAGAAATTCCCTGGGAAATGAGAAATGCCCTACAAAATGAGAAATGCCCTGCAAAATGAGAAATTCCCTGGAAAATGAGAAATGCCCTGGAAATGAGAAACGCCCTAGAAAATGAGAAATTCCCTGGAAAATGAGAAATTCCCTGAAAATGAGAAATGCCCTGGAAATGAGAGATTCCCTGCGAAATGAGAAATGCCCTGTAAAACGGGAGACTCCCCGGGATCGCAGTGGTCGCTGCAGCAGGGCTGTGTGCGCGGCTCCCGGCCCTGCCCCCGTGTCACAGTGAGAAACGCAATCCCAACAACCCCAAACACAGAGTGCTGCAGAGCCGGGGGGGGTTTCTGCCGGGTTTTATTCTGTAATAAACTGGGAGTGCTGTAAGGGAGAGCCCGGTGCTGATCCAGGTGCTGGTCGAGGTTTCGTGTGCCAGCACTGAGGGTTTACAGTCACCACCTCTGCCCAGAGGTTGGGTTGTAGGATTGGAAGGCAGCAAAGCAGCAAATGGGAAGGGTGGAATTGTCAACAATCCAGCCAGCGAGTCTGTGAGAGACTGTGGTGGCTGGGAAGGCACTCACAGGGCACAGGGACTTCTGAAACAGGGAAATTCTGTCCTCACCTCTCCGGGCTGGAAGTGGGCACTGTCAGACTCTCAATTTACTATTCCAGCCCACGGGTAACAAACCTTTCCAGAGATAACCCTCCTGACTGCCCCACAGCTGTGGCTACAATCCCCTTTGCTCACCAAAGAGCCAGCTGTGTCTGATGGGCCAATCCTGCAGGACCTGCATTCCCAAACTTCCACCTCCTCCAGCACAGCTGAGCTCCCCGGGAAGCTCCAGAGCTGGACCCAAAATGACATGGAGCTAGAGGAAAGCTTTTCCACCACATTTGGGTCTTTTTTCACGCAGCGTTCAGGTTTCTTTCTCCCCGGATGGGGAAGTGGCTTTTCCCAGGGGATGTTCTCTCTCAGTAATTTGGCTCAGACACGTCTGTGACTGGGAACCCAGAGATCTGGGTCTCCCAGGCTGAGAGCTGTTCCACAAAGCCCCGGTGTGGTCTCATGTTCATTTTGCATTTCAGAAGGTATTTCCAAGCTCTCTGTAAACAGAAGGAAAGTGAAGAAGCGTTAGAATTGAACAGAAAGTGACTTTTGGGCATTGTCACAAAGCAGCTACACTTCAGTCAGCACAGCTTTGTATTTACTGGACAGCAAGAACCTGCAGAGAGGAGTTTGGCACCCAGGTGGGGACAGGCTGGATCCAGGTGTGACCCTGAGAGAAACCTGTCCCCTTCATGCTCTGCTCTCCTGGACAGCCTGTTTTCTCTGCTGAGTGTCATTCCACTCTGCTGGGCCGATGCAATCCTGGATTTTCCACCCTAAAATGCTGTTCCTTCCACAGATGATGAGCAAGCAGTGAAGTATCAGCCATAAAGGTCATAAAGCAATGAAGGTTATCACGTTTTTGATTGGTGTGACCTGATGTGGCAGAGCAGTTATCCCACTGTATTAATTACAGCCATCTTAATTGTTAGCTCCAAGTAATCACCTAGAAACTCTGACACACACAGGGCAGATCCACCAGCATTACTGCAGCTCCATCCCTGGGTTTTCCTGTCAGTGCTCATCTTCCTGCTCATAAAAGAGCCTGACCCCTGCACTGCAGGGTTGCTTAAGGGAAATGAGACCAAAGGTCAGCAGATAGTGCTCCATTGGTTTGTTTTTCTAATCTTGCTGATTCTGCAGGCTCTGAGGCTGATATTCCAATATTTACTCCTCTGGGGTCACTGTGGGTGTCTCTGGTTCCCCTGCACTCTATGATCTGCTCACATATTGCTCACTAAGAGAATCAGGGGCTGCACACCCCAACTCTGCCTTGCTTTTGCCTTTTTGAAAGCTTTCAAAGATCTTTGTCTGGATTGGCAGGAGGATCACACAGAAATCTGTTGCACTGCTTTTGTCTGCAAGAAACAAACTTGGCTGCCAGGGTAGTCCCTCAGGAAAGCTTTGCCCAGCCAACAGTGGGCAAGCACCATCCTGTCAATATTTTCTTTCTTTTTTTTCTTTTTTTTTTGGCATTTAGTAAAATGCTGAGAGCAACCTGTTGATGCCAACTGAGGGGAATGGCAAGGCTCAGGCTTTGACTTTTGCACTGCCATTGGAAGCACACTCTGTGATTATCAGCCTGCAGGAGCAATCACATCCCTGTCAGTGCAGGGACTGGACCCTGTCTGAGCCCTGCTGGCACCCTCAGCCTCTAATTACCCACTGGCACACAGCCATGGCAAGAGCTCTCCTCTTACATTGACATGTTTGCACAAAATCAATCACCTTATCAGATACAGACCCAGCTTTAGTGAGGTTTGGATCAATCCCTTCAAGCTCCTGAACTTTCTGAACAAGGGTGAGGTTTTTAAGGAGAGGCTGGTCAGTTGCCATGGGAACTCTCCTGGAGTGAATTCAGGAATTCCAGGAGATGCTGCCTGGGTGTTGCATGCAAAGGGAGAAAGGCCTGGCACCAGGGGAGAGGCCACCAGGCTCTGGCACAGCCAGGCCATCCCCAGCCACCCTTCATTAATTTATTTCATTATTCAGAGCTATGGAACAGCCTGTGCTGGCCATCTGACCTGTACATCCCCTCTGGGCAGGTGTCATCCCATTGCAGATTTCTGTACAGGAGTGTCTGTGGGAGGGGATTGCTTCTGGAGGAACAAAAAAGGATTTTGGAAGGAGTCAGTGCTGAAGTCAAAGGGAAATGGGAGCCCTGCAAACACAGGGTTCTGAACTTCTCTAACACCATGGAATTAAGAGATAGGATTAGCTGCACTAGCTTCCACTGTTTCCCTCAAATCCAGGAGATAAATACCATGTTCTGTATCCACAGCTTTGCTTTTCTAGCCCTTTAGCTAAGTAGGGAAAACAAAAAGAGTAAGGACTCACAGATCCAAAATCACACCTAATCCACCTCCCTAATGGTCTAAAGAAGATGCAATCTCAAATCACAGAATCAGTTCCATCACCAGGTGGATCTTGTGCATGAAATGACAGAGGATGTCTCACAGTGCTGCAGTGCAGTGTTTCAGCAGGAGAGCTGAGGAGCAGAGGCCCTGGGTGGCCTGTGACAGTGACATACCTGCAGGGAGAAGTGGCACGAGTGCATCAGGTAGGCCATGGTGGCTGTGCTGCTCCGGCTGATCCCCAGGCTGGAGAACACCAGCACTGCTCCCACCTCCAGCTGGGCATCTGAGCCAAGAAATGCCAGTCACAGTCAGCGAGCTGGGAAATGCAGGCAGGCACCAGTTTGGTGACAGCTGACAGGGGCTGCAGCCTGAGAGACAGGAGCCCTCAGGAGCCCTGACAGCAGCAGATGGGCACTGCCAGCTCCCATTTCTGTAAGCATCTGCCTTGCTTAGAAATCCACAGTGAAAACGTGGCCTTGAAGAGCAGCACCAATGGCAAGGACCAGTCAGTGCTTCATTGCACATCATGTCACCCCCACAGCAGGGATCTGAGCAGAAATGGTCTTTCATCCCCTACCTGCTGTGGTCAGCATCACAGACTCTCCCCAGACAGCTCTAAAGTATTGAAATTTTATTTTGCTTGGAAGGTTGCATATTTAATTGATAAATTTTAATTATTTCTCTCCCTCTCTAGACAGAATAATGTTTTTAAAATATTAGCAACTGAACTCCAGAATTCATAGAGCAAAACCTTTTCTTTTAGTGCTGTCAAGATCTTTTGTTTGTTTGTTTTTCCCCAAGCACTAAGCCCGCATTTTAAAACTCATTTCTGTTGTGAGATACTACTTCTATCCTAAGATCTGGGCAGAACTGGCCTCACTCCAACATACACCTGGCATGAGGACATTCACACTCCTCTTGGAGTATGTGGAGAGCTTTAGTCTCGTGTTCTGGTTTGAGTAATCTGCTCTCCACTGCCAAACAAACAGTTCCACTATCAGGTAAACAGTGGAACACTTCCACAAGTGCAGCTAATAGGCTCTTGTAGTCTGGTTTGGAAACAGCCACAAATCATGTGTAATGTCAGAAGGAAACTTCTGAAACACCACTGGCAAAAAGTATGAGGCACAAGGAAAGGCAAGTGAGTGAATATCAATATTCAGGTGCACTAAACAATGAAATTCAATTCAGGACTACAGATTTATATCCTCAAGTGTTGTTTCTTTGTGTGCAGTTGTCATGTCTGATATTGTACTTGGATGAAGCTCTGTGGGGACAGGGTGGTCTTTTGCTTCTGGCTCTGTCCAGCACAGCTCAGTGGTCTGTGGCAAGTGTAATTTGATAAGCACAATAAAAGATAACAACATTGTTGGACAGCATCAGGATGGAGCTGCAGGAGCCTCAGCTGCAGGCACTGAGCTGCAGAGTGTGTTTTCTCTTGTCCTAGCTGATGTAATCAGCTGAAGGCAGGTTCCTGCTGTCCAACCTGAAAGTCTTCCTGGGCCCTACAGTGGGTCTGCACTGCAAATCACAAAATGATCAATGCCTCGTGCTGAGCTCTCTAATGTGTGTCACACTGCTTCAAATCAAGCTCTGGTGGCTGAAGATTTGGGCTGCTGAGAGTCAAAGGAGTGAGAGGGAATCCTATGAAGCCCTGCAAAGATTTGGGTGGAAAGCTCCCTGTTATCAGGGTGAGGCATCCTTTGAAGTGAGCAGGGGCACCAGAGTCAGATGTAAAATCTCCTCTCTGTCCATCAGGCTGGTTAGTGAGGCAGCTCTGGTATCCATCAGGGTGTGGGCTTGCTTATCCTCCTGCCTGGGCTTCCTGTCACTCCCATCTAATATCCTACAGTGAGCAAGGGCTCAGGAATTCCAGATCAGGATCCACTCACCTATGAAATGAGAAATGGTGGGGAAGGAAGAAAAAAGATCTGCCTCGAGTGAATCAGGAACAGACACATGGAGGGATTTACCTTCTTCTGCAAACCTGGAAAAGAGCACACAGACCACGTGGAGCAGAGGAGCAGCCTTGGCAAGATGGGTTTGTGGGAGGCAAGGTGATCATTTTGTTTGCTGTTACATTTGTGAGTTTTTAATCATTGTCATCTTTAACATGACAAGGGATTTATTATGGTGAGGCACAGAGGTGTTTGTAACACAGAACCAGTTTAATCACTGATTTTCCATTTTGATGGTATCAGTATTGATGCCTTAACCTACAGATAGATAACCTACAGAGAGATAAATGAAAACAGATGGACTGAAAGCAGATGTGCTTTCACAGAGTGTGTGCTGGCTGCTTTGTGGGGCCCTCAGTTCCCTTCACGTGGTTTTCTGTGGCAGCATCTCCTCCTTCCACAGGCTCAGAGAACTCATGGGGCAAAAAATTGGTGAGGAATTTCCAAAATGTGGAAGCACATCATGCAGGGGACACAGGAGTACTCCCCACAGTGCAGAGACATTCCTCTGCAGAGAGCCAAAGGCATGAGAAATGTCTGCTGGTGCACATGTCCTGGGGTGGGTAACTGCATTAGTTACTTTGTGTGGGTCAGCACCTTGAGAAATGCCACTGGGTTTTTCACTGTGTGAAATTGCATTTGCAGCAAGGCCTGCAGTCTGGGCTGTCTGGTCATGGACAGAGCAGGTAAGGAAGGAAGACAAAAAATGGGACATATTGCTGACTTAGCTTATACACAGATGTGTTGGTAAGATTTTGCTCTGAAAGCTATTTAGAGATACAGGTTTTTCTTGAAGAGTGGTGGTATGTGATAGACTTGAAATAGCAAGGGCTTCCCAGGGCTCCTCTTACCCAATTCACCCGTGGCATGGTCAAGGGCTGCAGGGCTGTGTTGCTGTTGTGCTAACTCTAGAGCAGAAATTAGAAAACAGCATGAAATGGCACTGGAATCTGCAGAGGTTTCTTTGGAAGGCCACAGGCACTGACTCCTCTGCCAATAAACTCTGTCACCTCATTTTTTCACATCACAGACACTGGTGAGGGGAAGCCTTGAACTGTTTAACTTACAGAGTTACAGGCTGTTCAGAGACGTTGACCAGTGCTTTGATCCTCAGATCTTTCTGAATTTGTTTGTCACTGGCTTGCTTGAAATTGCCCATATATAGCTTTGCAGGCAGTATTTCTACAGGGTATGGCTGGAAGGTGTCTAGTTCCTGCCAGAAAGAAACCACAGGCTCAGGTTAGAGTTCCTCTGCTCCCATCAGCTCAATAAGTTCTTAAACAGAAGTCATGTGAAGAGTTGAACAGGCACTTAGTCAGCAGCCCATGACATATTTTAGTGTAATGATTCATTCAATCGCCTGGATTTGCTGTTTTGAAGTCTTTCTGCTAGTTTTACTGAGAATAATTAGCAGCCTCACAGTCGTTGTGGCATTACTTGAAGCAAATCCCAACTAAACAGGAGGTGGAATACATTCTTTGCATTGTCTGGAGGGACAGATTGGTTTGATGTTCTCCCTGGTTACTGTTTGCAAGGATAAATGAAAACATCTGCCACTGCAGAGCCGCAGGTGCCCTGGAGTGGCACAGCACAAATCCACAGCTGCAGCCCAGCTGGAGGCTCGGGAGGAAAACTCACCAGCAGCCAGGAGCACAAAGGAGGAGCCTAACAATTTAAAGCTTCAGCTGAGAGGCAAGGAGGTGCCTGTGTCCAGCTGAGTCTGAGCAGGAGGCTCAGCAGGGAATTGCCCTTCACAGGGCAGCACAAAGGGAATCGATTTTCTCTCCTGTGCTGTAGCATCCACAGGTTAGCACCGTGTCATGGGAACCAGAAGGGAACAATGGGAACAAAATACACCTTGGGATGAAATGCTCTGTTGTCCAGCACCTTCTTAAGCTGCCCTGCCTGTCCTAAATGTGCATTGAAGGGTAATTGTTTCTCATAAGGTAAATAGCTTGATGCTTATAGGTGAAGCCAAGCAATCAGGACACAGTGTTTGAGTGGATGGCTGTTTTCTTCCTGGGCCTATTGAAAGAAGGCACTTGTGACCCTTCCTGATGAAAAGACGTGGATCACAGTGCTTGGTAGGAATTGTACTTGTGTTTGGAAACATTTGCTGTGTACTATGCCAGATAACCACGTGTGAGAGAGCAGCCTGCTTGCTGTCATCACTTGCTACTGTTTGTTCAGTTATCTGTACTCTCCATAGGCCAGTTTTGGGGTTATCAGGGGAACATTCCCAGCCTGTTTCCACGAACTTCCTTTCATGCAATAGAAGAGGAAGAAGTGAGGCTGTAAAAGAATCAGTGGTGAGACTCAGAGCAAGCACAGTAACTCAAATTACATCCAATTCCTTTGTCTGAAATTTCTGTGATACCAGGTATGCAACACCACCTAACCTGAACTCACCAGCCATCATATTGAATATTAATGTCATCTGCTTGGAAATCAGTCTCATCTCACCTGAGGCATCCACAGTGTCTTGTGGCTCTTCAGGAAGTGGTAACAAGCTGAGAAACGCTTGTACCCTCCCTTCAGCAGGAGCACGGGGTGGCGGGTGAAGTGCTCCAGGTTTTTGGCATGGAGGAAGGCATCTCCTCCCTCTGCACCTAAAGACACCAAAGAGCTGTTTGCCTGGGCAGGTTCAGTGTGTCCCTCTCCTGGCATCCACAGCAAACCCCTTTGCATTCCATCTAATGCTCTGGAGAAAACTTTGTTAAAATCTCAATTTATTCTTTACTTGTTAAGAGCTGTTTGCCTGGGCAGGTTCAGTGTCTCCCTCTCCTGGCATCCACAGCTGCAGGACAGTTACAGGGGGTGTTGCTTTTCCCCTCTCATCCTGATCTTTTATTCCTCTCCTGGCTTCTTTTCTAGGACCAGATTTCTTTTCCTCTCCCCGTTTTTCTTTGGGAAATGCTTGTAATAAGTTTCCATAATAGGGAAGTTTTATTAATTTAAATTTAATAATCTTAGTTTTTTGGAGGCCCTTTTCTTCAGTCTGCTTTAGGCAAACAGGAAAAAAGGAAATGTGTTAATTAAATTCTTCACAAATGTTTTAAACACCCCCCTCAGTGAAGTGGATTATGTGAGGTGGCTGCTTCTCCTCCTCCTCCTCCCAAGGAATCCATCCTGCTTCCCTCTAGCTATGTCTGCTTTAGAAATAGATCAGCACAACAGAAACCCAGCTCTGATTCTCCACACCTTCCCTGCACTGCCTCAGCACTTAGGAACCTGCTTGTTTTATTCATTCCCCTTACACCTCCACTATGTTTTTTCTTTAAAAAGTGATGTAAATCTTTGCTAAAACTCTGTAGCCTTTGTGAAGCTCAAACAAACAGAAGTGGTTCTGCTCACAGCAGAATCTTGCCAAAGGATGTGTGAAAGCCAAACACTTCCATGGTTCAAGGAAAACTGAACAATGCCATGGAGAAGTTTCCAGCACTTCACATTTCTTGGTGAACCTCATCAAATCACCTCCCCCATTAAAGGTAAAGCTTTTTAAATATCATGAAGTGAAAGCCTTTTGTGACCCTCAAAGAAGGAAGTACTCACTCTGGGAACACGTGGAATCTGAGCTGCTGGTTTCAGTCTCTGAAGCAGTGCTGCTCCCTGAAAGGCAATGAGGCAATGGTTGGACAAGCCAAATCTCAGGGAAATGTGGCAAAAAAAAAAAAAGAACCCATTCCTCACATGCAACAAGGAGCTTCAGAGGATCACCCACAGAGGGGAAACCAGGGCTGCCAGGATGCTTTGAAATAAAAGCTGGGTTTTTGAAGCCTGAGAGCATACACAGCACAGTGCAAAGCACAGGCAGAGCACAGTTTTTCCCATACAGAACCACAGAATAATGAGGTTGGAAGAGACCTCTAAGATAAACTGGGAACATTTACATCTCTTCCAACAAGCTCATAAAATTAAATGAAGAATGGGAAGAATCTCTATCCAGCAGTGAGGACTGGACTGGCACGGGTCACACGTACCTGTTTCTTCCTCCTCCTCCTCCTCCTCCTCCTCCTGATAGTCCATGGAACCCAAAAAGCCAGTGTCGTGGTCATACACCACACAGAACCTGACATAGCCCAGCTCCTCGGGATTTGGGATCACATACTCCCCCGCGGGACTCTGCCAAAATCACAGAGCAATTCCGTCAGGAGCACGGCCCCTCTTCTCGGGTGCCATGCACACCCCTGGCATCGTGCACGCTCTCCGGCTGCCTGCTGGGTTTGTAGGGGTGGGACGGCACTGGCAGCCCGGTGGGGAGTCGGGAGCGATGGAATGATGCAAACCCCGCTGACTGCCCCAGCAGCAGCAGCAGCGGGAGCATGCCAGGCTGTCCTTGTGGGGCAGGGCTGCGCTCTGACAGCTCTTGTGCAATGTTTCCCTGGTTCAGTGCGGTGTGGCAACCCTCGGGCAGCAGGAGGATTGCTTTGTGACAGAATGCATCCCCCCAGTGGCACGGCCGAGGCAGGGCAGGGGCTGCCACAATCCCCGTGAAGGGTTTCAAATTCTGCTAGCTGTAAACCCAGGGGTGGCTCACACAAACAGCAATCCCTCACCTGCTCAATCTTCTGGGCTGTAATGATGTGGCTGTCATCGAATTCAAACTGAGAACGGGCATCTGAAAAAAAAACCATAAAACAAAAACCAAGCAAGACAGAGGAGTTGGTTTTTAAAGCTCAAACAAACAGAGGTGGGTCTGCTCTGGTGGAGGGTGGAATCCTCTTTGTATTTTGTCAGTGGGAATGCAGGCATCACCCAGAGAAAGAGGTTGGAAATGTGGCACTTGGGGATATGGTTTAGGGGTGGTTTTAGTGTTGCAGGGTCAGCTGTTGGACTGGATGAACTTGAAGGTCTTTCCCAACTTTGATGATTCTGTGATTTTTTATTTTTTTTTTTAGAAACTGAGGCCTTCTGGTGTGGGTGTAACAAACTGCAGGGCTGATGTGAGTCTGTGTGCAACACCAAGTGACACCAGCAGTGTTAGTGCTGGCCCAGGAGTGCTCCTGCAGCAATCCCAGCCTCAGTCCTGTGCCCTGTGCCTGCTCTGCCTCTGCTGCTCCAGAGCTGGGGCACTGCAGAGACCCAGCCCCCCTCCCAAAGTGCTAACTCCCTCACCAAAACATTCAATGACATTGCAACATCACTGTCACCCTTCTGGGGGCATTGGCACGATGCAGAATGGAATGGTTATCAGGAATCTTTGTGCAATGGTTGAGCAATCCAGTGCAGTGCCAAAACCTCTGGGAGCAGCAGGGAGAGTGTGTGTCCGTGGGAGTGATGAGAGCAGGCAGAGCTGAGCACGGGGAGAGCCCCAGCAGCACCAGCCCACAGCTCCTGCAGCGGGGTGGGAGCAAGGTCCCGAGTGCCAGGCCCAGACATGGTGAGGGTGATGTGTGTGCTTTTCCTCACACGCCCTGCTGGCTCGGGACATCTGCCTGGGCTGAGCACAGGGCCTGGCTGCTGGCAGGGACAGGGACAGGGACAGGCAGGGGCAGGGACAGGGACAGGCAGAGGCAGGGACAGGGACAGGGACGGACAGGGACAGGGACAGGCAGGGGCAGGGACAGGGACAGGCAGAGGCAGGCAGAGGGACAGGGACAGGAACAGGAACTGGGGCAGAAGAAGCAGGCGGGCAAGGAGCAGAGAGGGCAGAGACAGGTAGGGACAGGGAGAGGAATGCACAGGGAGGAGGGAGGGGGATAGGCAGAGGAAGGGGCAGCAGCAGCAGGGACAGGCAGGGGGAGAGGCAAGCAGGAGGAGGGACAAGGCAAGGCAGGGACAGGGACAGTGACAGAGGCAGGGACAGGGGCAGGGACAGGGACAGAGGCAAGCAGGGACAGGCAGGGAGAGGCAGGGACAGTATCAGAGGCAGGGAGAGGCAGGGGCAGTGACAGAGGCAGGGACACGCAGGGGCAGTGACAGAGGCAGGCAGGCACAGCCATGGACAGGGACAGGGACAGAGGCAGGCAGTGTCAGGCCTGTGCCGCGGCCTCACCCAGCAGGCACAGGTAGTTGGGCTCCGTCAGCCGCGATCTCCACCGGTACTGGTTGATGATGTTGTAGAGGTGCCGGGGCTCGCAGAACACCACCCCGGCCATGCCCCCGGCCCGGCTGTCGCCGACTGTCGCCACCCCGCCCTGCCCGGGCCCGGCCGCGCCGCCCGCCGGTCTCCATGGTTACCGCAGGCGCCATCTCGCGAGACTTCCCCCCCTCCCTTCCCTGCGCGGGCGGCAGTCTCGCGAGAGCGGCGGGCGGGGCCGCGCAGGCGCCGCGCGGGCCCTGGAGGTCGTTGGAGTCACGGCTCGCTCGCTCCCGCCATGCTGTCCCGCCTGAGCGCCGCCGCCGCCCTGCGCCGCGGCATCGCCACCTCCGCGCAGGTACGGCCCTGCTGCGGCTGCTGCCGGGCTCGGGGGAGGCCGGGGAGCAGCCCCGCTGCCGCTCGGCGAGGGGGCTGCGGAGCGCAGGCGCTGCCCGGCGCAGGGCGGGGATGCACGCCTGGTTGTTCTCCGCTCTGCGCCTGCAGGGACACAGCTCCTCCTGCGGGGCTGCGGGGCTCGGCTGGAACGCGGGCCCTCGGTGCGGGCTGCGGGGCAGGGAGGGCAGCCCCGGTGCTGCTCCGCTGTGGAGCCCTGAGGCTCCTCGGAGCGGGGCTCGGTGGAGCCCGGGCCCCTCCTTGGTGAGGGGCTCGAGTGGAGCCCAGAGCCCTCACCGGAGCGGGGCTGCGGGGGTCGAGGGAGCCCAGAGCCCTCATGGGAGTGAAGGGGCTCGGGTGGAGCCCGGACCCCTCCTCGGAGCGGGGATCAAGGGAGCCCAGAGCCCTCATCGGAGCGGGACTGCGGGGCTCAGGTGGAGCCCGGACCCCTCCTTGGTGAGGGGCTGTGGGGATCGAGAGAGCTCAGAGCCCTCACCGGAGTGAAGGGGCTCGGGTGGGGCCCAGAGCCCTCCTCGGAGCCGGGCTGCGGGAATCCAGGGAGCCCAGAGCCTTCATCGGAGCGGGGCTGCGGGTTTTAGGTGGAGCCCGGACCCCTCCTCAGTGAGGGGCTGCGGGGATCGAGGGAGCCCAGAGCCCTCATCGCAGCGGGGATCGAGGGAGCCCGGACCCTCATGGAAGCGGGGCTCAGGTGGATCCCGGACCCCTCCTCAGTGAGGGGCTGCGAGGCTCGGGTGAAACCCAGAGCCCTCCTCGGAGCGGGGCTCGGGAGGAGCCCGGACCCCTCCTCAGTGAGGGGTTGCGGGGATCCAGGGAGCCCGAGGAGGGCCCCATACCCTCGCTGAGATGCTGCGGGGCCGGGAAGGAACCCAGGGCCTCAGTGAGGGGACTGTGGAGCTGCGGGGCTCGGGTGCAGCCTGGAACTCCTGGAGAGGGGCTGGGAGCGTGTGCCGGTGCCGGCCGTGCCCGGTGCCCGGTGCCAGCACCGCGGGTCTCGGCCCGGCAGCTGCACCCTGCTCCAGGCAGGCTGCGGGTGTGACGGTGCTGTATGAGCTCCTCGCTCTGACGGTGTGCAGAGGGTGATGGGTGCGCTGCTTCCTCCCTTTAATGCAAAAATGCCCCTGCGTTCCGGAGGTGTTAAGAACTAAAGCTGGTGGTTGGTTTAGCAGTAATCCCTCGTGTGCCAAAATCCACTCTGCTGGCTCCAGACCACTCTGCTGTGGCTGCAGGGGTAGACACCGACCTCTGTGCAGTGTTAATAGGGCTGGTGGGGTGTAAAACACTAATTATTGCAGCTGTAAATAAGTGCTGTATAGGAGAGCCTTGTCTAAGTCTTTTCATGGAAACTGTATTTATTAGCAGTGAGATTTTGACCCCACGGTGTCAGCTCGGTCACAAATGGGGCTCAGCAGTGACTCATGCCAGATTTTGCTTCCTCTTAAAGAGTTTCTTGCAAAATTCTCTTTGCTACAGTAGCAAGAAAACCAGGCTTATCAGAAAACTCAGAAAACTGGGGTTCACCTGGTCCAGTTCTTGGGGAGATTATTTCCTGTCATAGCACAGTAATTAAGCTGTTCACGAAGGGACGTGGAGCTATTACTGCTTTTATCTGGAAAGATTGTGATAAAGAATGGCTTTCTCAGCAGTAATTGCTCATTACATCTCCACAGGAGTTTTCCATCACAGTGTTGCACTTTAAGGTTGTTGAGGTCTGGAAGGAGCTTTCCTCTTGTGGAACAACACTTTGCAAACAGGCATTTGTGAGAGAAATTACACCCTGCCAGTCAGTAGCTGAGTGAGGATAAAACTGGTCCATGAGGCAACCAAGCAGAGTTAATTTGACTTGATTCTCAGCTGATCAAAGCTGGAAATTGTAGTCACTTAATGTTCTCAGTCCTGAATGTGCAGGTGCTATTTTGGATTTATATCAGGTCTAAACATGTTCTTCATGTGTATGCAGTGGCTATTACATTTCTTGTAGTCCATTAAGTGTATTGATTTGCCAGATGGAAAGCATATTTTTTTTAATACGGGCAACATAAACTAGAAAAATGGAAAGCATATATTTTTTTTTTAATATACTGGCAACATAAACTAGAAAAATGGAAAGCATTTTTTTTTATACTGGTAACATAAACTAGAAGAATTACAAACCAGATTTGCCCTAAATCAGGCCTAGCCCCACAGGGTGGCAGGCATTAGTCTCAGACAGGCATTTCTCTTGGGAGAAGGGTGATCCCTTGGCTTCCTTTGCCCTAGCCTTGCTTCCCTTTTGAGTTTCAGATCACAGGTAACCATTTTTTCCAACTTACTGTCCAACCAATAAACCTGTGGGAGGCTGCAGTGAGGGTCATTTTCTGTAGGCTTAAACTCTCAAGTTTACACAGTGCTTGGTAAAAAAAAGAGAAACAGGACTAAAAGCAAAGAAAGAATGGTGAAAGGTCGCTGTTGGGAGCGGGGGGTGACTGCCAGAACAGCTCTCAGACGTGTTTGCTGTCTCTTTTGCCCAGAACAATGCCAAGGTGGCAGTGCTGGGCGCCTCGGGGGGCATCGGGCAGCCCCTGTCGCTGCTGCTCAAGAACAGCCCCCTGGTGAGCAAGCTCAGCCTCTACGACATCGCCCACACTCCCGGCGTGGCCGCCGACCTCAGCCACATCGAGACCAAAGCCAACGTCAAAGGTACCTTTGGATCCTCCCACGGGAGCCTCTGAGCCTCCCTGCACCTTGCTTGGGAGGGGAGCTCTTCACCCACTGATCCTGGAGCCCAGTATCAGTTTAAGTAGCTTTTTCCTCAAGCAGTGAATGATTAATTAAGGTTTAGCTGGTTAGATTGAGGTGTATGGAGATAAATATGGGCTGTGGTTGCAGTGTTGGAGGGAAGTTTGTGACATCTGGCAGGAAACATTCAGTGAAGTTATCTCAGAGTGTTGAATTTAGAAGTTTGACCTATTTTTATAGGTTTACCATTCCCTGGGTGAATTCCATGTGCTTCTTTTCTCTTAGATTCTGATGAAATCAAAACTTAATCTGCTAATCTTTCTGAAGATCGCCAAAAGGTGACATTTTACATGAATGTGCCAGTCTGCAGTTCTCTGGGGGCACTGACTCTAGTGCCAAGGCTTTTGGAGAGTAAATACACATAGCAGGGGGAACTGAGAGTTTGGAAACAGGTGAATGTGAGATTCTCACCACTCTCATTCTCTAAGTTTTAAAACAAGGATAAAACATCAAATGGGATCCATCCATAATTGCTTCTTTGCTTTTCAGCATCAAGTCTAAATTGAAGGTTAAATTTAAAGAAAAATACTCAGATGCCTCTGGGCATGATTTTATACTTCAAAGTGTGAACTGTTTAGTAACTGTCAGAAACATAATGCCTGAATGTCTTCCATTTCAGGCTTCATGGGACCTGAGCAGTTGCCAGAATGTCTGAAGGGCTGTGATGTTGTTGTTATTCCAGCAGGAGTCCCAAGAAAACCAGGTAGGTTCTCTTTGTTGGGAAGCCCCAGGGCTGCTTGGAAGTGGATCTCTGCAGTTGTGCTGCTCAGAGCTGTGTCCTTTGGGGTGTAAGGGCTCTGTTCATGCTCCTGCCCAGAGCTCCCTGGGGTATCAGGCAGCTCATTCAGCCTCTCCCTTCTGAAATGGGCTAAATAGATTTCTGGAGTTCTTGCCTGGCCTCAGCTGAAAGGCTTTTCATGCAAGTGATCCTAAATCTCCTTTAGTGTTTCTTGTCCCAGAGCAATGCTCAAGGAATAAAAACTGGTTCTTTGTTTAATTTCTCAAAAGAGAAATAATCCATTTTGTTTTGTGTCAATTGTCCAGCAACTTCTTGGGGCATCTCTGAATAAATGCTGTTAAACCTTCCTAGAATGTTTCTGACCTTCTCCATTTCTATTTTCCAGTATCCTATTAGCAACATAACAAAATTCTAGACTTTAATGCCTAGCTCTTCCTAAATCTTCATTTTTCATGGTTAAAGTGGTTGCTGCAATAGAAATGGGGGGTGGCACTCACCCAACCAGCAACATTTTGCACGCAGCAGTTGTCATTTAAACTGTAGTTGTGGAAGTGACTTCAGAGAGGGAGGAGGATTCATCCTGGGAGCAGTGTGCTGCTCTGAGCAGCACTGGTTGGGTTGTGTGGCCACAGTGTTCTCCAGGCAGCCTCACTGAGCTGGGTTCTGACACTGGTTGCTCCTGGAAAAGGCTGATCTTTATTAGTGAGAGGAGTCACCTGTGCTGCCAATTCCTTACTGCAACTGGAGAATTTGTTCTTGATCTGTGAAGCTGATGTGTGTCTGTCCAGAGCAGAATATTGGATTTTTGCATTTCCTGCCTGTGGTGGTAACTGTGGGTAACTTAGAATCCTGCCCTGGCTGTGTTTTAGGTATGACCCGTGACGACCTGTTCAACACCAATGCCAGCATTGTTGCCTCTTTGACAACTGCCTGTGCAAAGCACTGTCCAGAAGCCATGATCTGTATTATTTCTAACCCAGTAAGTGTTTTCTGGAGACCTTGGAATGTGGAGGAGAAACTTCACCAAATTCCAGATACTAGAGTATACCAAATAATAGAGTAATCCAAATTTCTACTAATTTTGAACAGTATCTTTAAAGTCTGCAGTGTATTTGCAGAAAAGCCTGGTTCTACTAACCCATTTTTCTTGGCTATTTTTAATTCAGAGAAAACTTAGATGTAAAAGTGCTTAATATCTCCAAGTCTGTGTGACTGGTTATAATGCAAGCTGGTGTATTAGCTGG